ATAAAAGCGACTCTACTTACCTAAAACCATACGTAGCACCATTTATCGTCATTTTAAAAATTTTACCATTTTATGTCAACTCTAAACTTTTAAGAATTGCATTTTACTGACTTCCGGTCAAGATTTTTAAAGTCTGGAAGTCTCTTTCTTTAGGAACACTTCAGGGACAATTATTATAAACCATGGGATGCCTAACAGAAGCAACGGGTGTCGTTTTATTCCATATGTGCGGTAAATTGGAATGGCTCAAAAATTGAACCTCAAATTACGAGGAAACCAAACTGGTACACATCGTATTCGACTTTGGGACACTGTAGGACACCCAAAGTACAACAGATATAAACATATCTCAACCCTGAAATCTGAAGTCGGCGGCAGTTTGGGTATACATCCAAAAAATTACTTTTTGGAGTTTTTGTCTGAGAAGACTGCCCATATTTTTGAGAAAAAATAACTTTCCACAAAGACACCAACCATGAAATGTGGATACTTGGAATTTTTTTGAAAAAAAAGTCGATTTTTCAAGATTTGAAATTGAACCAACCGAATATGAGCCCAAAAATATATGAACACATCACTTGATCTGGTCATATGGGCACTCAAAATGTTTGTGAGAGATCACACTAGAAATTTAAAGGCAGCAAAGGCAGAAATTGTTTGCTCAGTGAGGTAATATCACTGTTAAACCGAAGCTCATGGGCGTAATTTCCTCATTATGCTTAAAATAGACGCAGTTTACGACACAAAAATCACATAAATCCATACAAATTGAACCGGAAATCAATTCTACGTCAAAAATCAAGTAGAAATAGCTCCTCAGACGTTTCAAATTCGAATAAAACTGGACCAGTTCAGCTATATGTAGCGTAAAATGGCGACTTTTTGGCCATTTCCGAGTACATTCGAGCCTGTAGAGCCACCAAATCACTATTTTATGTGCATCTATTGATCAGATTTGAATTCCTCGTCAAAAATTAGACTAAATAAAGTCAATTTTGGCCATGCATTTGAGGTTTTTTGAGGGTCCAGAGGTGAGTTTTTGCGGAAAAGTAGCCAAAAAATGGATACTTGGACGATTTTTGACCTACGAAGGCGACAAAATCGCGCTGGAATGATTCCAAACCGACTTATTTTTATGTAATTTTTCGCGATAAATCCAAATATTATAGTTTGAATGCATGAAAAGTGGTTATTTTTCGAGATATTTCAACAAATAGTCTGGAAAAATCATAAAAAAATGAACCAGATAAAAATTGAGTGGACCCTGTGGGAATCAACTTTTCGGCATATGTCCCAGAACAAAAGTTTCTTCTTTTGAGGTGCCAAATTTTGCCGAAGACACTAAGTTGTTATCTCTTATCAGTTCCGCGGAAACCGTGAAAAACCGCGAGGACCCGCTAAAAACGAACATACTCGCTTTTAACCATATTTAAGTCGACAGAAACTTGCTCTTCTCTTTCGTAACAAAGTCAATGAAACATACACTACTCTCAATCTCACCCATAGAAATAATACATTGAGTCTCTTCAAGTTGATTCAAGTTCAGATTGAATCCGTTCCAATAATGTTCTAGTTGCACCGAGTAAACCGAGTAAACCGAATACAAAAATGACAGCATTATCGGCCCTTTCGAATGATCGATATTGCAGTCGAATTTCGGACGTTTGAATGAATCCGACTTCAGAAAAAAAACCATTTCAGACAATATAAAACAGACTATTTGTAATTTGTTATCAGCTATTTTAATTTTAATCGTATTTACGAAAATGTATTCATAAGCTTCTTAACGCAGACAAAATAAATGAAACTTAAATTCTCAACACTTTCTGTTTATCAATTGGGCTCCTTCTGCCTTACTACAGAGATATTTGGCTTTGTGAAAGTGATTATGTTGGTTCAAGTGAAACATTACATTACTTTGAAAAATTATCACTGAAAGCATTTTTTGATTTTGAACATTTTTGTGTATGATTCCATTTCTGAACAAATAACTATACAAACACTCATTAATTTCAAATTGTTATTTAAATCACCTTTGAATATTTATTTGAAAGTCTGCTGTCTCACATTTCCATGTTGATGTTCGAAAAAATTCGAAATATACAAATGTCAAACTTGTATGCCTCTTTCAAATGTCATACTCATTTGGTAGCCGCCAATATTGCGCTGGGTTCTGATCGATTGCCGAATAGATTTTTCTTGTTTCAATTTAAATTTACATTTTTTCCCAATCAAAATTAAATTTCCACTAAAAATAATTAACGAAGCAAAACAAAAAAACAAGTCAAAGCAAAAGATATGTCAACCGTAGATTGCAGCATTTGCATTGAACCATTATTTGGTGAGAACAAGAAATTAAAGCTGACAAGTTGCGATCATCTTTTCCATAAAAGTTGCATCGAAACACTTGTGGGAAAAGGGTGAGTTTGGTTTATTATATTATTTTAGCTTGATGAATGGTTGAAGAAATAATTCAAAACACATTATTTTCAAATAGCGGAGAGAGATGTCCAAGTTGTAATGCTCGTTTGTTGGGCCGACGAATGCAACGTGTTTTTGATACTCAAAGTTTCCCACCAGGTCGACGTTCCGATCGATTGAATGCAATTGACGAGGCGATGCCACATGATGATGACACAACAGACGATTCCTCCGATGAGGCTGTCAAGGGTTTGGATGGTGTCAAATTGAATGAAACTACCAAATCGAATGCTCACCAAAACGATTCATCGTCGTCAGGCACTCAAACTGATTCAAATTTGCAAGAAAAACAGTCTGTTTCGGCAAGTTCGGTCAGACAAAGTGTTGAATCAAACGTTGATGATGATCAATCAGCATTGGCTGCTGAAATCGACGCAAGTGTGGGCCCTGGTTCAAATCAACAAGGAAAAGGCCATTCAAGTGCTGTTGAAAATTTGTCGGCCTCAAAAGAAGACGCTACCGCTTCGAACGATATCAATTCGAACAGAAATGCCGAATCAAATGCGACTGACAAGGCGAAACAACGAGATTATGACGTCAACGCTATGAACGGTGGCAATTTGAACGCAAGTACCCAATCGAATGTTCACCAAGACACTTCATCGTCGTCAACCACCCAAATTGATACCTACTTGGAAGGCGAACAAAATATTCTGGAAAAATCGGTCGCAGCAGCTGCTGAATCAAACGGTGAAAAGGAAAAATCAGCATTGGCTGGTGAAATGGATACACAACAAGAAGAAACTGGGTCAGTCGGCGCGGATGATGCATCACCGTTGCCCGCACTAAATGACACAATGGCAAGTTCCACATCAGCTCAAAAAAATGTTGATGCAATAAGTGTCATCGACACAAACATCACTTCAAGCGGACAAACGGAAAAGAAAATGTCAAGTCAGCAATTTCAAATTGCGAAACACGAAAGTCATCAGAAGGACCATCAGCGAAGCGTGCGTGTGGTCCGAAAAATATAAACATTGATCGTCGTCCAGTGTTACGTCTAATTCCTGCAAATACGGCTGAGGTCGAAGCGACCCGCCGCCCGAAACGTATTTCTGTACCTGTTCCACGGTACAACTATGGTTTTGTTCGGTGTGCTATTTGTGGTAAACCATTCTATAAAGACATTGCAATTGAACACTACGAAGGAAGCATTGCATGCTCGTTCGAATGTTTACGAAAACAACTCTAAACATCAAGCAATGAAAAATGTCACTTTGATCTCTTAACAAGTCCCTTCTTTAGTTCAGTTGAATGGCTTTGTTTCATGTGATATTAAGAACTCCAAATGATCTGTTATCGTTCCTATTTATGCAAACATGCAATAACTCAAATAAGGTAGAACTTTTATGTAAATTTTGGATAAAATAAAATGAAAGGAAAGAAAACATTATCTTAATGGTTCTGTATTTTATTTGGGAAGATATAAGCAACGTGTGGACACCGGACAGCCTTTTACTTCAAACTTTTTGGTTTGTTCTTCACGATCTTTAGAAAATACTGATTCCAAAGAGCTATAATATCTGCGAATTTCATGTGGCCTACGACACAGCATTAAACAGATAAACGATGCACACATTATTTTTATTTTCAATACAAACATTTTTTTTATTTCCATTCTAATATTTAGAATTTGTCATCTGATACAGTTTAATTTAAGGCACAATAAATAAATAAACCGATCAAGTTGATGACTGAACGCACTCATCGTACCAATGTACAATATACAGCTGTCAAAACCAAACAAATTTGAGGCTCGGACCAGCTAAACAGAATGGCTCAAATTCACATGTATAGACAAAAAATTAAATGCGGATATTTTGAATTTGTGCTCTTTTTACCTCAATAAACTTGTTGTAAAAATATCATACGGGAATATTAATTTTTTATTGTCATGTTTTTTGGTAAATATCCAGGAGCGCGGATTAATAAGAAGGACATATTTTTTTCTTGTGCTCTAAAATACTTTCTTGTTCGTTATGTTGAATAAATCATTTTATTAGTACTATGATCCAGGAATTTTATGAGGTGATAGTCTACTATCACTGGCTCTTAGTCTATTTGGAAGTCGCGCTCAGATATAAGTTTGTTTTGGTTTGTTGACAGCTTATTTGCAACATTCGAAAATGAGTACATGACAGAGAAGAACAATTTCGAAAATGAACGGTAACACAGACTCTTGACTCTAGACAATGATTGCGTTGTTCAATTTTGTTTTTTGATTTAATAGGATTGTATTGGGTGTATGCATTAGTTTTAAAGAATTTCCACTACAGATGGCGTAACTTGTACTATAACGCATCGGGCCATACTGTAACTATATTCACGTGAAAGCCACATCATTTGACATTAGTTTTCAGTAGGTGTTATTTTACCAAAGCGTAAACAACATACTTTTTTTCACTTACAATCATGTCAAAATACGTGCCGAAAAAACAGCATTTGCGGGAAGTTTTACTTTTCTTCTATAGTTCGAAGAAAACTGCTGCTGAAAGTCATCGTTTGCTTTTGGAAACTTATGGTAGCTCTAATGCTCCATCGTCTAGTACATGTGAGTACTGGTTTCGATGCTTCCGAATTGGAGATTTTGACGTGGAAGACAAAGAACGGTCAGGTCAGCCAAAAAAGTTTGAAGAAGACGAATTGCAAGCATTATTGGATGAAGATCCATGTCAAACGCAAAAAGAACTTGCATTGGAGTTGAACGTAGACCAAGCAACCATTTCCAGACGTTTGCATGCAATGGGAAAGATTCGCAAGCTGGGAAAGTGGGTTCCACATCAACTGTCTGAAGAGCAGCGCAAAGCACGGATCGTCACATGCAAAAAACATCTTGCAGAGCACAAAAAACACAGTTTTTTATATCGAATTGTTACCGGCGAAGAAAAGTGGGTTTATTACGAAAACCCCAAGAGTAAAGCAGCGTATGTTGATCCCGGCCAACCGGCGCCATCCCAGCCAAAACGAGATATTCATTGCGATAAGGTTATGCTGTGCATCTGGTGGGATATGAAAGGAGTCGTGTATTATGAGCTGCTAAAACCAGATCAAACGATTAATAAGGAACGCTATCGACGCCAATTGAATGATTTGGCTCATGCATTGGATGATAAAAGGCCATTAATAGCTCGAAAACACCACAATGTTTTGTTCCACGATGACAACGCTAAGCCACATCGTGCAACAATCGTTAAAAATAAGGTAGAGCAGCTCGGTTGGGATCGGCTTGATCAGCCCGCGTACTCTCCAGACCTTGCTCCTTGCGACTACTATCTATTTCGATCGATGCAGATTGCCCTGTCTGAAGCTAGGGGAATATCACGCTTGAATTATTTCAAATATTTCAAAAAAATCCAATTTATCTCCAAGAATCTGTCGTATGAAATATGGTGGATATTTGTGAATATGGCGGATTATTGTGCATTTTTGTGATTATGAATGATATTTAAATGTATTTATTCGGATTTAATGCAAAAAATCTCAAATATCTCCAAAATCCACAAAAATCTGATTCATTTATTCGAAATATTCGAAAATATGTCATACAATTGATGTTTATTTCAAATATCTCACAAGATTCAGGAGCGTGATATTCCCTTAGTCTGAAGTACGCTTTCAAAATGAGGAAGAAGTGCGAAAATGGGTTGATGACTACATAACCTCAAAAGACGAGGACTTCTTCAAGCGAAGAATCAACAAGCTGCCTGAAAGATGGCTAGAAGTCATAGCTAACGATGGCGAATACATTGGTTAATGTACTCATTCATTTTATTATTTTAATAAATGTATCTATGAACTCAAAAATTCTTTAAAATTAATGCATACACCCAATAGATGTGGAAAAAATATGATTATTCATCGAATCAAAATGTTTTTTCAAACACTATTTTTAAAAAAATCCTCAGTTGAAAAATATTGGTGAAATAAACAAATAATATAACATGCATTATGTTTATGTATATGGATGGATAATGCGGTTTATTTCCAATTGACCTTTTTGGCACCGAGTTGTTCCGAGTTGCTTCGAGTAGTTCGGTTTTCTATTGTGTGCGAATTTGTGTCTTCCCCCTAGGCTGCGTGCTATTGCTTCAGACGCCATTCACGGTCTATTTCTCGATTGAAGTTAATAAAAGTGAGAAATTCGAAGTTGAATAAACCGAAAAATTGAAGGAAATTAAAGTGGCAAAAATGTACTGGGGTGAGATTAGTTTTATAGAACTTGATGATGGTGGTGATTGTTACATTTTTTTCGTATTGAGAGAATGGTCACAGACGAAGAAGGAAAGCGACACAACCACACCGCGTTGGGTGATCTGCACATTACAGCCATGAACTTGGACGTCGGAACATTGCCATTCAATACCAAGATATCGTCGCAAATTTAGCTCGAATCCGAAGAAAAACAATACTTGATTCGAACTTTGTCCCGTCAAACGCCTAATTACATGATTGACATTGCTTTTCGCAAGGGCGATTCATTTGCATTGTGCACCAAAAATTCGGGAGATGTGTACATACATGGTTACATTGCTGGCGACGAAGCAGCCGAACCGAATTCGAATGATGATGAGCACGTAGAGGATGAGGAGTCTGATGAAGAAGAAAATCAAAATGATGGTCGTTCTGAAGACAGTTTTGACAGTCCTGTTACAAGGTTATTTGATTTATTTGATTTTGAATTGTTTTTTTTATGATTTTTGGAGAGAATAAAACTAAAAATTAATCCAAATTTGATTTAATCATGTCATTTTAGTAAGCCTATAAATTCAGCAGCTGATAATAATCGCTCATGTACACGTCCGGACATTACAAATACGATGTTTCCACACACACCAAGGTAGACAAGTTTTTTTTACTACAAATAAAAATAATAATAACACAATCATAAAATTAAAGTGCCAAATCACAGTCAAATCCATTTGGAAGCCCTGGATTTCAACAAATCGGAAACTCTGGATTTCACCCAAACGCAAACATGACCGCTGAGCCAGGAAATATGTGGCCGAATCAATTTTTGTGGTCAAATCAAATGAATTGGCGTGCACCACCGAACTGGGGGGCAAATGGATCAAGTGGAATGAAACGTGAACGTGAAACAAACGAACGCAAACAGCCCACTAAAACCAAAAAACCTGACAAAGAGGTTTTTAACCAAGCAAAGTAAAACGAAACCGTACATGAATCTTGAAACACTGTATGTGAATTGTGAATCCACGTCACGGCGTTTAAACAATAAAATTAGTTTTCGTATACACATAGAATCATATAATGTTGTTGTCTTTTAATGTCTCTTTGTCTTTCTCTCGGAACAGTCACTTATCGACATGATGAAAATGATCTAATCATTTGTGAAATAAAAAGCGACAAAAAATGAGTTGCGTACACACTTGTGCACAAATCTCTTTCTCCGAATTATTCTCTTTTTATATCTTGATAGATCTCTCTTATTGCAGACAAATAATGAAATGCGTTGATTTATAAATCGCGATCGCAAGCTAATTTAACGACATCCCAGTCAGCCAGTCGTTAATTGCATACACAAATGAGATAGAATTTATCGCAAAAGTAGGTGTCAGCACCATTAAATATATGGTTTATCCCGGTTTGCGATGACATTTAGAGGTTATGTTTTCTCTGTGTAGCATGTGCCGTTTTAAGTGTTTCGCTTTGCGGTGTTCCGTTTTGATAGATTTTTTGTCTGCAGTCGTTATGAACGAATCCTCTCGCATTGTTTCATATGAATGGATCTGTATCACATTGTTGCGTTACTCGAATATTTTTTCGTGTGTTTCATTTCAATTGATTCCCGAGCTATTGATGACGTCACTCGCATTTATCACATGATGCAAATTAAGTGATAAGGAGCCCGAATTTCGATGTGGCGATAACACCAATGGATTGGGCAAAAAAATACTATATGAGAATCGAATAAAAAATTTAAACTTTTTTTTCGATTTTTGCCTGTTTCGGATCG